GGCTCTGGCGACCAAGGCGGAGGCGGAGATCCAGAGATCCGTGGCGGAGCGGAGTCCAGAGGCGATGGTGGGTCGACGCCCGACCAAGGCGGAGCCGGAGGGACGAGGGAGCACGGTCTGATGGGTGACGGTGGAGGCGAGGGAGCTAGGAGCCGAGGTGGAGCCACTGGGTCTACGGACCGAGGCAGAGTCTGGGCCTCGGAGGCTGGAGGCGGAGGCGAGGGAGACTCCGACCATGGCGACGCTGGAGGAGGCCGGAGCGGGTGGGAGGGCGGGCATTGGAGAGAGCTCTTGGTCAGGAGCCCTTCCTGGGCTAAACGAAACATCAGGAGCCCTTCCTGGGCTGGACTGGGGATCAGGAGCCCTTCCTGGGCTGAACGAAACATCAGGAGCCCTTCCTGAGCTGGACTGGGGATCAGGAGGTCTCTCCTCCTCGTTTTGGCACTGACTGCCCTCCATATTCCACTCACCCGAAGCCGTGATGCAGAAGTCGGAGCTCCCCTCCGCACTCCCACCGTCCACGGCGTGCTCCCTCTTGGTGGGCACTGTCACCGGCTCTCGCACCTGGTCTGACATGTTGGGCTCAATCTCCGAGGCGATCCTCTTCTCAGCCGCGGGGCTTCGCTCCGGCTCGTGGAGCGCAGTGGGAAATGGTTCTCCGTCAGCGGTGGGCTCAGGCTTATGCTCCGTACCGCGGGGAGATGGTGGGCTGGGCTCAGGGTCCTGAGTGGAACGCCACCACACGAGCACAGTTGTCTGGGGATGGTCCTCGAGAGAGCTTCACCACCTTTGTCGAGCACCCACTCGGCAAAGGTGGTGAAGCTCTCTCGAGGACCATCCCCAGACAACTGTGCTCGTGTGGTGGCGTTTAGTCCGACGCGATAGAAGCCACAGAGGCAGTTATCCGGGTAGTGCGTGAGGAGGGCCAGGGACAGAAAGTCATTTGTGTGGTCCTCAAGAGAGCGTTCCTCCTGCTCCAGCTGGAGGATTTGGAATGCGGGATAATCCATAATACAAAAAAATAAAAACTGACCAAAAAACCGGCAAAACAAACGAGTGGAAGGACGCTGCTATACTTTACTTTAGGGTCGGTTATTCTGTCACGGTCACGGTGTGTGGAGGCAGGCAGGATGACGAGGATGACAAGGATACAAAATAAGGATCTTTAATGTAACGACAACAAGGCAGAGACAGACACATACTCAGGGTAACATTCAAAATAACCGACAAACTAGAACACAAGAGACAGGAACAGATATAGGGCAGTTAACGAGGGACAGACAGGTGAGCACAATGAGGTGATTCTGTTGCAATTGTTCTAATAGAGATTGGAAGCCCGGTCACCTTTTCTCTTCAGCCTAGATCTAGGAACCAATAAAATTTCTGATTCTATGACCTTAGACATCTAGCTGGACTGTGTAAACGCAAAAGGTCAGAAAGATACAAAGGTGCCAGTCCATTTAAAACCTTAAAAACAAAAAGTTAAAATTTTAAACTCTATTTTAAATGGACTGGCAGCCAGTGCAAAGAGAGTAGGACAGGGGTAATATGCTCGTATTTGCGAGTGCCAGTCAAAAGTCTAGCAGCTGCATTTTGTACTGTTTGTAGGCAATTCATACATAATTGGTTAATACCAATAAACATTGAATTGCAGTAGTCTAGTCGAGATGAGATAAAAGCATGTATAGCTCTCTCGAACTCAGCACAAGTTAAAAAACTCTTCACCTTAGCAAGGAGTCTGAGCTGAAAAACTGAAAAAATTAACTATTGCATTTACTTGCTTATCAAAAGTCAAAGCAGAATCAAACGCAACACCCACATTTTTTACAGAGGGCTTGACATATGCAGCCAGATCACCAAGCACTTGCTGTATGTTGCCAGATACAGCTAAAGAACCGAACACAATTGCCTCAGTCTTACTCTCATTGAGATTCAAAAAATGAAGAGACATCCAAGCCTTAATATCAGACAGACAAGCAGTTAAAGCACTCAAACTCTGGTTGTCATTTTTTTAAAAGGCACATAAATTTGCGTGTCGTCAGCATAACAATGAAACGACACTTTGTGCTTATTAAAAATGGAACCCAACGGGAGCATATACAAAGAAAATAAAATTGGAGCAAGGATAGAACCTTGAGGAACTCCACATGTCAACACTGATTTAGAGGATGAGCACCCATCCACACAAACTGATAAAGTTCTATTTTTCAAATAAGATTTGAAACATTTTAGGACAGAACCATTAATACCCACACAGTGTTCAAGACGGGAAATAAGAATACTATGGTCTACAGTGTCAAATGCTGCACTTAAGTCTAAAAGCAAAAGTACTACAGAGTTACCAGTATCAACTG